AGGAAGAATATAAAAAAAACAGTTTTGAAAATAAGAAAGAGAAGAATAGAAAAAGGCTGGACCAAATATAGGACTTGAACAAAATGTTCATCATCACAAAGCATAATGAATTATTCGAAGCAAATAGAATTTGACAAGAATGATTGCGAAATACCAAGACGGACTCAAAGTTCGTCGCATAAGAAAAGTTAAAAATAATAAATATAATTATTTTTGTAATATTATAGCCAGTAATTGTGAGATATAATTGTTTCCCTATTCCTAGCGACTGAACAGGATATCAGAAATGTGTCGATTCATAAAATTTACACGATCTTATGTTAAACAATTTATCAGTAGACAACTTTTTCATACCTTTGACAAGGATCGAGATAATTTGGCACAATGTTGGGTGCCCTTCCATTACAGGTATTAAGATTTTTTCATGCTTTAGTTTTCATGATAATCGAATCAATTGCTTTGTCATCTTTCAACCAACTATGTTAACAAAACACCAAAAAAATTGACGAGGAGAAAATACCAAAAATCTTCAAAAGTCGGAGAAAAACAACTGTACTAGTTATCGCAAGAGTAAAATTACAGTAAGACCTGTGATAGAATCGAACATACACTGACTGATTTGAGCTCAATTATCTCAATTCCTGTGCAAGATATCAAAAAATGGGTTAACTGATAGATTATTTATCTAAATATCACCAAAAGTATATCAGTTGACAGATGTTTCAAGTTTTTGTGGAAACCGAGATAGTTGCGCTCAACTTATAGTCTGGGCTTCTATCAGAGCAAATACCGTAATTGTTTGCCTCTTTCCAGCCAAATCAAATTTCTAGATCTTGTTTTTATGATATTCAAAATAAATGTCTAGTAAGTTATCAACTAGTAAATCTAGTAAATTATCGAAAGACCAGAAAAAGAAGTTAATAAAGTAGGAAAACCGATAATCTGGAAAAAATAACTACCTCACTCAATAATGAAATTATTCTTTGTTCACTTGAGAATTTTTTCGAGGAGCATGGTTTCCTAAAAACCGCTTTGAAATGAAATTATAGCAAATGTGGAACTAGATTAGTTTGAAACAAACATAGAATCGAAAGGTTAACATCACAGAACATAACAACATGGCCACCAGATTACCAATTTCTCAATCTGACCTCCCACTCTCTCGAACGAAAATCTATTAACCTTTCCCGAAGGTTGATGCTCATGAATAACAAATGGGCGAGTTCATGCAACATACACTCGGAGAGCTCTTCCAACACCCACCTTGCTCTCCGGTGTTCTAATTATGATTTCTCACCGACCACTGATTGAAAAGAAAGCTTTTCTAGCGGAAATAATGCATTACAACAGGACACACGCTGATCCCGTACCTGTGCGAGATTGAAAGACGGATAAAGAAGCAGGAACACATATTAATTAATTTTAAAGGTGTGGCAAAAATAAGGCGCTAATAGTTCCTTTTTACTATAAGTCAGAAAATTAGGTATAGCTAAAAATATTGAGGAACGAAAAAGAAAAAAGAAGAAACAACCGTATTAAAAAAATCGTAGTGAGACTGTGTGCGCGGCGCATGGAAAAAGGAAAAAGTTCTCGAGATTAAAATAATGAAATATGGAATACGGAAAAGTGTCGACGTCACAAGGAAGAGGGAATAAAGGAAGAGACGATACATCTGATTATCTAAACGATCCATCACACTTTGGGGTAAGGCGAGAAATCGAGAAACATAGAGAAATGAGGAAAACGAGGGAGAATTGTAGAGGGGAAACACGCAAAAAAAAACCATACACGATCCTTATCAAGCGTTTGGGGAATCGGGTGGACACAAAAGTTTTGTTTGGCACAAAGAGAGAAAAGCTAAAGAACATAAAACGCTAAGCTCTACAGACGGTGTTTTTGAGTCATTAAGGAGAGAGAGAACCAAATTAAAGAACTATCAAAGGTTAAAGTAAGATAAGTAACCTTTGCTGTTATTTTTGAAAATTAAAAAAAAAAGAATAACTTCAAAAAACACAAAAAATGCCCCCCCCCCCTTACCCGCTATCACTGTAAAACCTATAATAGAAAGGCGCCTCGTACATTCAACTTTGAGCAATTTTAATTTGAGTTCCTGTCGAAGATATAAAAATGTTCAACTGATAAATTCACCCGTTTTGAATATCTTGAATAGGAATCGAGATAATTGAGCTGAAACTTCACAGTAAGGGATTACAGCTTTTACGGTATTACACGAGTTTTAAATATTACTCAAATTTTTTTCGAATTTTAAATCTCTGTTTTACTTTTTTTTCTTATATTTTCGAATTTAGGGCGATTTTCATAATTATTTTATGTAAATTAGAGGAAAAAAGATAAAAGTCGTTATTTCAATGTCAATCGAAAGAATATGATGTAAAATGATGAAAATTATTGAACATTCAATGGAAAAATAAATTAAAATTTAAGAAAAAAAATTAAAAGAAAGAGCATTGCAAAAATGCATTTAAATTGCAAACATTATGGAAAAATCATTGGAAAATGAATTAAAATGATGAAAATCGTGAGACAAAAACAATGAAAATCGTCCGAAAATTGAAAACTAGGATATATATTTCAAAAACAGGCTCAAAATTTAGAGAAAACTGCTCTAGTGTCTTTGAATATAAATTGACAAAATTTTAGCTATCAACAAGTATGGATTTCCGATAAAAGTAATAATTCTCAAAACTTTCACGTTACTGTTTTGAAGTATATGGATACAGGGCTGGGATTTTACGCTTACGAATTTTACGGTTTTTACGGATTTCATTTTGAGACAACCGTAAAATTTTACGGATCTCCGTAAAATGGTTTCCGTAAAATTCGTAAAAACCGTAAAATTAGCAAATTGACTGGTTTTAGCAAGCAAAATCTATATTTTTCAAGGTTGGCGCTATTTCAGGTATGTATCTTTGCAAAATTCAAGTCAATAATTTGAAAATTATGCATTGTCACACAGTACCAAAGTTTTTTTAAAAAAGGTCGAAAAATGCTTTTGGAAATTCGATCATCGCTCAGAAGCGGAATTTTGAGATTTTTGGTGATGAAAGTGTGACAATGCATGTTTTTCGAATTATTGAATTGAAGTTACATACTAAATAAGCGCCGAACTTGCAAAAATAGGTTTTTATTGCCAAAAACAGTAATTTTCCAAATTTTACGGTTTTTACGGATTTCGCGGAAATTTACGGTTTTTCAATCCGTAAATTTTACGTTTTACGGATTCCGTAAAAAAAATTTACGCCCAGCCCTGTATGGATAGAGATACAAAACGCCAACCTTCTGAATAAAATAACTACCAAATATGACCAAACAAAGGAATTTTGTTTGACACATGCTTGAACCGAAATGTTTTATTAAAGTCTAATATGTTCGCATCGAATAGAACATTTGTTTACTCTATGAATGTACCCGGGAAAATCAACCTCATTCGTATTATGTCTATTCTTCTCGGAATTTTTTTTCCTTTTTGTCATCTAGGTACAAGATATTTTAATTAAGCTGGAACAAAGTGGTTCTAATAAGAATAGTACACCTAAGACAAACCACAACAAACAGCAGGATTGGTGACCAAAAAGCATATATCCGTATATACAAAAACATATTATCTTATTACCATCACAGAAACTAAACTAAAAGAATAGATATAAAAAATGATAATAACTAGACTAAAAAAACGCGATGATGTTATACATACACTTGTTCTTTAGTTCATGCACTATTTTCTCCGCATTTTCTATCGGGGAAAAGTGTCAAAAGGTTCTGCAAATTGTGGCCACTTATGGCCAAGTTCAAGTACACTCGTCTCGTAGGAAATTCTCTCGCTCATTACAAGGGGAGGCTAATTGATGGAAGAATACCGATTCGCCAATCTTCCAAAATGACTGACAAAGTGAGAGACACAATACAAAAAACACGGCGAGAGAAAAGATGATGATTGAGTAGGAGTCTATATAAGTCGAATTCATTTTTTTTCTTTCATTCACAAATGACCAATGTACTTGATGTGGCAAAAAGAAGACTGATAGATGCAATGCAAGTGCGCTCTTTTGCAAACGCCACGACAAAATGAATTTTTAATAGAGCATGTTTGCATAACAGGAACGCTATGTGTATGGAAATAGAAAATAAAGAGAACAAAACAACAACAAACACTTTTCGATATTGGAAACTTTTTTCTATGAAAAACATAAATATATTGAATGCATTTTGGTCGGATAAAAAAACTCAAATTAAATTCAATGAGTGAGAGAACAAAACAACAGAGAGTGAAGGCACAATAAAGAAAAAAAGGCACATTGGTTCAGAGAAACTTGAAGTGTCAAAGTAATTTTTAAAAAATAGAGGTCGTGGTTTTTGGTATTTTAGGGGGTGAAAATGAGAAAATGTTTGATATGGGAGAGGAAATGGGTGAGAGGAGGCATTCGACTTGAATCTGAGAATTAGATTTTTTTTTCTTTCTAAATGAAGTTTGGTTCAATTTGGAGGGTAAAAAACAACCAAACAGCAGTAGAAATATGTTTCTCTTCTTGATAAACCTTGAGAATAGTCTAGCAAGAATCAATTCCGGTTTCTGAACGTTCCCCTCCCTCATATAGTGATAATCATTAGGCTTTCAATTATGACGGAAACATTTAATTTGGTTGAATGGTGCTTAAAATTCTATATTGTTATGTGTTGAATAGAAATTTAAAAAATATATAAAAGTAAAAATAAATACGATAAGAAGATTTTGTTTACCGTAAACTCTCTACAAAAATTTTGAGCCTATTTATCTCATTTTCTGTGAAAGATATCAAAAAGTAGCTAACCAAAAAAATTTTGTTCTATTATCACAAGTATTTTGTCAGCTTACCACTTTTTGATATCTCTTACAGAAACCAAGATAAATTGGCTCAAAGTTGATCGATGCGAGAAGTCATTCTATGGGAGTGTTTACGGTTTTTTGTTGACAATTTCTTTTTTTTCCAAGATTCCACATTTCACGAATCAAATGAGTTGATTTCCTTTCTTGGAGTGCTGCTACTTCCATCTGGAGAAATGACTCCAGACATCTTGGGAAGCATGTGCTCAAGACGACGACGCGCTTTTTGTTCCGACTCGAACGCCTGAAAAATGTTGTGACGTTCCAGAAAATAATCTTCAAATAACAACACGCACCTTTTGTAGGCTTTTGAGATCAGCCTGAAGAACCATCACATGGTCTTTGAGGGAGTAGACCGCGTCGACGATGCTCCTGAAAATGAAAAAAATAGGTGTAAACAGAACACAAGATTAAAAAGAGAACAGAAAAATACGAGGACATATTGTGAATATATTTGCGTAGTTCAACTAGACACGTAACGTGTTCAGAGAATTTTGTCATTCAGTATACAGTGGCGAACGTTATTGAGTGTCACTCTATACTTCTGTTCATAACTTTGCTCAAACTTGTCCAATCATTGAAAACTTTTTTGTTAAATGTAGCTGAATTTCCAACAAAATGTTGTATAATTTTTTTAAATTTCAATCAGTTTTTGTGTCTACTGAATCTTTATAGACGTGACGATAACTCCAGATGAAAAAAATTTCCGTCAGGATTTTTTTAAAGATCGGCTTTGTGATGAAAAATGTTTGGTGTAGATCAAATATATACTGAAAAAAATTTGAAGCGGTTTAGAACAATTTCTCTTGAGATGTGCTCACTGGAGCTTAAAAGGAATAATTCTGGAGTTTGGCTATAACTCGGCTCAAAATTGTCCAAAATTGTTCAAATTTTGAGAGAATGTGTGTCTTTTTTTTTACTGTTTTACAATATACATTTAAAACTTTGTAATTTAGGAGCGATAATTTTTTTTTTCATTTTTATTTACCGAGGACAAGCAATGTATTATGAAAAAACTTTTGTTCCCAAAAAACAAAGTTTTGTATTTTTATTATAAAGCAATTTAAAACACACATTCTCTCAAAGTTTGAGCAATATTTCATTATTTTGAGTCAAGTTATAGCCAAACTCCTGAACCATACCTTTTATGCTCGAGTGAGCACATCTCAAGAGCAAGTGTTTCAAACTGCTTCAAATTTTTTTTAGTATATATTTGATCTACACCAAACATTTTTCATCACAGAGCCAATCTTTTTAAAAAATCCTTACGGAACATTTTTTTTTCATCTGGAGTCATTGTCACGTCTGTGAAGATTCAGAAGACACGAAAATTGATTGAGTTTCAAAAAAATTTATATAATGTATTGTTGGAAACCCAGCTACATTTAACAAAAAAGTTGCTGATGATTGGACAAGTTTGAGCAAAGTTATGAACAAAAGTATAGAGTGACACTCACTAACGTTCGCCACTGTGTATTTCCTCTAAAACAAGCTTACCAAAACCGTCGCTTTTCTGCTAAACTTTCTCGATTTTTGTACAAGATATGTAAAAGTGGTCAACTGACAGCATGTTCATCATAACATCACCATTATTATATCAGTTGACAAAATGCTAATATCTTTTACAGGAATCGAGATAATCGAGCTTAAAGCTGACAGTTTGAGTAGGCTTTATTGAAAGAAATACGGTAAAAATCGTCATTAGATTAACTGATGAAACTAGACAAAATGGATACTGTATCCAGCTATCCCAGGTCTAACTTATTAAAATAAATTGTATACAAACCAAACAACTCAAAAATTAAGCTTATCACAATAATTTTGCACTCTCAGAATTACATACAACCATTTCTTTTCCGCTTAGGTTTCAGTTGAACTAACGACCACTGTTATAAATGGACCAAAGAGACAAATTTGTATGCATATCCTCAGCCAGACACCCACGCACTTTTTGTTCTCACCCACTTGAGGGATGAAGGAAAAAAAGACACAAAAAACATGTAGTCGGAAAAAAGGAGGAAAATTTGGTGTTGTCGAACCGCGAGAAGGACACTGACAAGCGTGTACATAATGACGTTTTGCCAAAAATAGAGAAGTGTTTCAAATTGAGTGTCCATTATTCGACAGAAAAAAACCAAAGAATGCTTTGAGAGTTTTCAAAAAAAGGGGTCGGAAAAGCTGAAACAAATTTTTTGGTCGTGATTTCCAGATGATTGTGATCATTTTCAAAAGACTGGATCTTGGATATCAAGTTTGCGATCGATCATTTTCAATTTTTAGGAGGACTCTAAACAGACCTAGATTAAAGATTTTGCATTCGCAGAATTTTTTGGAAATTTCTAGTTTTTCAGCTTTTTGCCCATTTTTGAAAGACTCCTCTCTTTGGCCCGTTTGAGTTCTGAAAACGTGAAAAAAACAGATGTCTTCAAGAAATTGGCTAATAGCTGAAAAATGAGGAATTTCCTAACATTATGTAATTGCTAAACTTTCATTCTGGATCTGATTTCCAAGCTTCAAAGTTTTCAAAGCGATTACTTGGCAGCCGAGCCCCAGACACCTAAAAATGGACTGAACAACCTGAAATATACTAAAAAAAACTTTTTCCATATCTTATTGACAGGTACTGTAAGTCGCACCTAACCAAAAACCTTAGAAAAAACAGTTAAAGACCTATTCAAAAAACCTACTTTTCCTGAAGAACCATCTCGTCTCCGACCATCTCTTCCATCAGAATCTTTTCATCTTCTGCCACTATCAAATGCGGCTGTTGGTAACTCTCATTGGCATGAAAGTCCGACTGTGCACCGCTAGTCTCCACACAGTATCCCTCCAAAATTCGAAGCGTCTCGAATTCAATCTCTTCGTCACGAGCTGCATCCTTACGTAGACGGAATCCCCGTTCACTGCGTTTCCCGGAATTTCCGCTCAAAAAATATGCAGGAAATTGGGAGAATTGAAGGTTGTCTGAAATGAATATTTCTTTCTTCCCATGTAACATCAACTGAATAAACAAACCAGTATTGTTTCTAGAGTTGCGGCTACTTGTTGGAAGTTCAAAACCTTCGGGTAGTACCATTCCAAGCTCATGGTCCAGTTTTAGGTTGCTCAGGTTCATGACATCATCAAAGCTGAAAATAGAGTGATGACATTCGAAAATTTTTTTTTTGTGCCTCATAATTAAATTTAGCATTTTTGAAATTATTTCTTTTGAAATTATTGAAATATAGCAGCTTGAGTTTTCATCTTTGGATCTTTTCTGTTTTCTTATGTTTACTGGGTGATGGTGTTTAATTTTCTAGGGATCTTCTCCGTATCTCGATATATATTTATTGTCCTTGAAGTCCGTTCAAATATATATCCTGACAGATCTATGGACGTGTAATTACCCCCCGACCAGATGTACCCACTTACATTCTCTGTGTTGTGGAGTGACCAATACACAACACAAGGACAAAACGCATTGTTTCATTCTCTTTTGTGTAGTTTCGACAGAATGAGGAAGACCAGAATTTATCTTGATTGGCCGGAAACCCTCTGGTCAATCTTTTAGATATTTTGGGGGGGGGGGGGGGGGGGTTCAACAAATATTATATTATCAAAAGGTGTTTTGGGAATATTAGTTAGCCAAAATTATAAAGAGATATCCATTTATAAAGTTTAAAAAAGCAAAAAAAACATCAGCCCAATGCGGGGCTCGAACCCGCGACAACCAGATTAAGAGTCTGGTGCTCTACCGACTGAGCTAACCGGGCGGCGAAAGTCATAGAGGCGTTTCATGTACTTATGTTGGCAAAGTCACGCGTACTTTGCTACACGAGTGACGACGGCACAAGGACGATGGAAGTAGTGTAATATTGCGTGTGTGTGTGCGTGTGCGCGAGTTGTCTGTTGAGATGTGAGTGGTGAGCGACAAGGACAAGAAAAAATGACTGTTGTGCAATGTTTGAACTCTACTAAAAAAATTCCTAGTAATTTAGTTAGATGGAGGTTTTGTTGGACAGTGTTTCAGTTTTCAAGGGAGTGCTTCGATTTAAAGCGATTTTCAAGTAATTGTTCTAATTTGTAACGGAATTTCCTTGAAAAATGCAGTGACACTCTACAGATGGTTAGATGAATTGTTGAATTTTTGGAAAATGAAAACATCGAGCTTCCAGCCAACCTATCCATGAATTTTTTGTATCTTCGGTTGAGCGAGAACAGTTTCATGAGAGAATTTTGAAAGTTTCGACTTTTTTTTCGAGTTTTGAGCTGCATAATTTACTTAAGAGAGATTTGCAGCTTGCATTTAAATACCATTTTATTCCCTAGTACCTATTCACTTTAAACATATCATACTGCAAGCTAAATTTCTAACAAAAATCAATTTTTGCGACCTCAAAAAATGCTTGAATCGACTATCCTAGGTGCTTGAGAAACGTTCCTAGGAAAATACACAATAACAAGAAAATTTCAACAGCTTGTTAATAAAATGTTTAGGATCGGTCAAAAAACCTATACAGACACCTCTGAAAATGTTAGAAACCACTCACTGGCTTCAGCTGAGTTATATTACTTCCAGTTCTACATATCGCCTTTTCAATGAAAACAAAGATTTTAAAAAGACGATTTTCTCAACTGCTAGGACGTTTCAGAACATGAAATTTCATGTTATGTACTTAGAATTGCACGAAATTTCATATTTCAAAAATTTTCTCAAAAAATAAATGGTCCACAAATTTACAATCAGCAATACTCACTTCTTTGAAGAACTCTTTCTCTTTGTCGTCAACCCACTGTCCGATATTCCCATCGGATGAAGTGGTGGCTTTGAAGTCAGCGGACTCTCCATTCCTTGAGACTGGCTCATGTTATCCATGGTGTTCTTTGATGGCCGACGGAGGATGGTGCATGACGGTGCAGGGATAACAGTCACGTTTCCAGCTTTACCAAGGGCCATCATAAATCGTTCAACTTCTCCACCAGAGGCAACCATGGTCAATGTGAATTCTCCAGTATTTGGTCGATCTGTAAGATAAAAAAAATATTACTTCGAAGCTTGAAGGTGCGAATTCTCACCAAAAACAATTTCAGTCGCATTCTTCTTATGAACAATAAATCCAGAGACTGGATATTTCTCTTTGATGTCGTAGGTCATGTCTTTGGTGACTTCGAAGAACATGATGTACTTGGTGAACAGTGCGACGAACCTAAAAAATCAGTCAATGCCTGCTTCCTTCTTTTAGTACATGCCTATCAACAGGTTCATCCTTTTTGTACTCGACATTTGCAACTCCTACATACAGTATGGTTCCTCTGTCTGCAGGTGAGACCACTTTGTCCACCTTCGATACGAACAAAAAGTCAAGTTGGGCTTCTTTCTGTTTGCGAAGGGTTTCGCATAAATCCTGAAAAAAAGATGATTAACGGCTTTATATTTTTGCTTTTGATTATTTTTAGAGTCGTCATCACACTCACTTTGGTTTCACGGAAAACAGCTGCACCGCGTTGTAAATCCCCACGATCTGGGTGGTTAGCCTGGAAAATCATATTTGAGGGGGTTTTAGAAAACGAAACGTACTGGAACAATTCTCTCCAACTCCTGCAGAAGGTTGTAGTACTTATCAACATGACGCAGTGGCTCGCTGAGGCCCGAAACCAGATCTTTGTACTCTCGATCTTGAGCCTTTACCACCTTCTCGAGATCTTTCCTGGAAATTCCGCGTAATTAGCTGATAAATGGGACAAATCAAAGCTTACTGTTTCTTCTTCAACACTTCCACTGCATCTGGATGGTTATCGGCGTATAGGGAGAGCGATGTACGGAGCTCGAGAGCGGCTTTCATGAATACTCCACCAACCTTCATCTTTGGTAGATCCTCTCTGAACGGGTTGAAAATAATTTACGATGAAGGATCCAGGACTCACGATTGCTCACGTTCCAGACTTTCTAGAATGTCTCGTTTCAAGGTGAATATGTCTTCATAGTTCCCAACCAGTGTGCAGTAGTCGGAGGCAGAGAGACTGAAATAAGAAATTTTCATTGAATTGTAATAAGCGTATTTATAGCACAAGGAGCGTTTTATTTTGAAATGTTCTAATTTTGGGACTCAAGTTCTTTTAATTTCAAAATCTGATTGTAATTTTGACGATTAATGAAACAAGCCAGACAGCTTCATTTTCGCAAAAAAAAACGTGTTTTCTCATATCTTGGCAGTTAGGTCACTTTTTAGCCAGATATTTTACAGCTAGGAGTTTTCGTAGCCGTTTATTTTTTGAGTCAAACGACCTCAGGTTGAAATTATCGTAAAGAGACTCTTTCAACCTAAAATTTTTTAGCTTGAAACATAAACGGCTGCGAAATGTCCTGCATGTGAAATATCTAGCTCCGAAACGTCTCGGCTGTAAAAAGGGCCGTTTCAAGACGGCCCGGAGCCTATTTTTACGGTTGCTCACTTCAGAATTGAAGGTCTCGTGGAGGCAATTTCTATATTTCACATTTTCCAGAACAAACACTCACACTTTAGACTTTCCGATAGGCAGCAATAACGTCTGTAGCGTTTTCAGCAACTTCTGCATGTACTCCTTTTCTGCCTCAATGAAACTTTTCAGCACGGCCTCCCGGTAATCTGGTTGTGCTCCGATTGCCACTATTTCTGAAGAAAGATCCTAATTAGTTTAATCTCTCCGTATTCACTGTAACCATACCCTTTGCTGTTGCATTTGGCACTGATCTTGACCTTTGGAGTTTGTCTGGAACATTTTTTGGGAATTCTTCAGGAAATTAGACGAAATCTTACCTTTTTCGGTTAACAGAGTGACATATCCGCTTGGAAACCATCCGGTGACGCCTTCATGAGTTCCTTCCCACCAGCCGTCGTCTAGCTTTTGAGTAATTGTGATCACGGCATCCTTGTCGAAGCTCAGCTGCAAGAATTTACGTGACTAGCGAAGTAATTAATTTTTTCGCGGATGAAAAAAATTTATAAAGAAAAAACTATACTTGAATACTTACCTCATCGTTATTTGTCCCTTCAAACATGAATTTTGCGCGAGCAGTAAGCGGGGACCCTGATCCGGGTTCCATTCTGAAATAAAATTATTAAAGTACACTGAACATGTAAAGAAGTGGAGAAAATTTGGAACAGAGCAAATGAAACGCATCTTAGATATAGATTAAAGAGCTTTATCAAATTTTCATAGCGAAAAAACAGGAAAATATTCAAATTTACAGTGCAAAAAGATCAATAAAAAGAACGGGGGAACGTCTGTGGAGAGGTCAGCGCGCAAGTGCGCCCCGTTAGACTTGTCTGTGTCTCTTCCGCGTGTGTTGTCTATTGTCGTTTAGTGTCCTTTGTCCTTCACTCCGTGCACTGGTGACCCGTCTACACACACAAAATGTCCACACAGCAACACGGTGATAAATAACAGGTGTTGACCGGCTCTTTTCGAGTTTTACTATGGATAAGCGTTGCTCTTTTGTGTGCTCTTTTGAACATTGTATGCAAAAAGAGTGAAAATGAGCTGGGAATTACTTTTGAGTGAAATGTCAAATAGAAAAGAAACATTATAAAGAAAAATTATTCAGTGCGATTTTTGTCACAATATCAGAAAAACGAAAGCCATTTCTTCACAATGGTCATACGACAGTCTTGAAAATGAACGCATAAAATGCAATGACCTTAGACCAGGACTCTACAATCTGGACTATCAATCAGTACATCAATCGAGGTAAACGTTGAACACAGTACATGAGAAAAAAGAAAAGATGGCAGACTATATCACAGGCCTAATTCATGAAAAGAAAATCAGAAAAACATGTTTATTTAATATGATTTGTTGCAATATATTCTGCGTTCATCAGTTAGATAGTTTTTATTTAATACCACATCGGAAAAAAAATCAAAATTTTCTATCCGAAATCACACTCCATTGTCGTTGATACTGATTAAAATAAGTTTGACTCGTGACCTTCCCATTAGGTTTTAGTTTTCTCTGCTGTCGCCGACGGAATTCGTTTCTTGTTGTCAGTAAGATAGTAACAGCAAGTAGGAGAGACACGTATGGAAAGATCTAAACCAAAATGTTATTGATAAATTTTTGGTGGTTTTGAACTTACAAATGTGTTGATAGCAATGAGTTTGTAATTTAAAATACTCATGGATTCTCGGAATTGTCTCACAGTCACCGCAATAAGAATATAGAAAGATACAAAAACAGAGTTCAGAAGGACCATTGGGAACAGTGCACGGAGAACCACCAAGTTTTCGTATTGCTGATACTTTTTGTTTAATCCCGCTGATCTGAATAATGAAATTTTTGTTCCTAGCAATGTTGAGTTCATAAACTCACAAAACTTTTTGCTTATTCTTCCGCCAAAGTGCAAAAAACGCAACCAGGATGAATAAGTCAGCGAATAATATTCCATAAAGCACCATGTACATTCGCTCTCCAATGGAAGCAGATGTAGAATAAGTAAGGCAATGTGTCATTGGTTCCAATGGATTCTCGTTCCACAAAGCCCATTCAATGGCTAGAATGGCAGATAAGACCTGAAAAATGGTCTTTTGGGTTTTTCGTTTTGAATTCTTTCGCTTGTTTTCTTTCGCTCGTTTTGTCCTAAAAACCTTGAGAAAACAAGGAACTTTCAGAAATGAGCGAATAGCTAAAAAACTAGGAATTTTCTAAACATTTTAAAGTGGTCGGAATCTTGACAGCTCATGAAATTGTCAAAATTAGCAAAAATCAACTAAAAATTTTTTCTCGTTTTACACCCTCTTCCTTGTTTGCTACTTCTATCAAAATTTCCTGTTCCTGATTCGAAATAATGACGTTATTATGAACTACACATTTTCTAGTTCTACCCACGGGTGTTAAACTTCCAACCTAGTCAAACATCTATTTGAACCCGTATGATCTTGTTGATCACCTCATTATACTTGGATGAACCCCTTGACTTTAATGCAGAAACTAACCGAGAACAAAATAAACAATCCTCCAAGCCATTGCGTCTGAAATTCATACTTTTCTTCAAGTACAGTAGCGATGAGTCGTTCGAGCATTTGGCAGAATTGTGTAGAAGTGACACCAACGAAACATGTTCTGGAAATCTCTTTTTTTTGAATTTTGTCTATAATAGTGACTTACAATGCGACTCGCCGGAACATGGAGCAGAAGGATGTTTCAAAGATCAGGTCACAATCATTTTGATAAGTGAGAGCAATGTAGACTTGACGAGCACAGATATATACGATATCAAGGGAGAAAATTAGAATGAAAATGGTTAAGAGAATCATCAAAATCTGAAAATTATCGAATTTGAAGTTCTAGAACTTTATGCTCACCTTGGCATTATAATGGAATAACAGGCGAAACCCATATAAGAAAAATGAATAGAATATGATAGCAACCGACGCAATACCAGATAAAGAGCACATAATTTCTGGTAATAAATACAGGAAGTTGGTAGCCACACTTCGATTGAAAGCACATACTGTATCAGGGATCACCATACTTCCTTGGCTCATTAGTTCAGCTGGAAAATTCTCGAAATCCATTGGAAATAAATTGAACTGATGGTGAACTAGGAAGGAATAGAAAAAAAAGAAGAAGAAGTAGAAAGTAGGAAGGGTGTAACGGAAATATGGATGTTGGAGCTTTGCTTCTAGGAAGGGGACTTAGATATTCGATATTTCTCTAGAATTTTTGTGTGTGGAGATCAAACGCTCTTTGCTTCCATTTATCAAAATGAATTCTTGAGTTTTAGAATGTAGACAGACAATCATGTCGCTAGTTTTTTTTTCGAATGCGAAAAGGAATTAATAAGTGAAGTTCTTGCTCTATGGGAATTGAGCGCCGAAAAGAGACGTTCGCGAAAAATTTTGGCTCGTATAGTTTGCGTGATGAATAGGAGTACTGTAAAACCATCAGTGAGATATACTAAAACGTTTTTTAAAGGTTGATTTTGCTACTAAATCTGGAGCTCGGCTACTAAATGTCGGATCATTTTGAAAGTTTGGTAGGGTGTAAAAACAGACTAGATTGAAAACTTTGGATTCACAGAATTTTTTGAAAATTCCTAGTTATTCAGCTTATTGCCAATTTCTGAAAGACAAATTTTTTAAATGTTTTCAGCACAAAAACAAGACTTAAAAAGGTGTTTTTTAGGAATTGGAAAACAGCGAAAAACTAGGAATTTTTTAAAAAAATTCTGTGCATGTAAAGATTTCAATTTATGTCTGTTCATTTAGTTTAATGAAGGAAACGCAGAATAAAAGGCCCCCACCCTGTCAAATTTCTCTCCAATATCTGAATTCCTATGCAACATATTAAAAATGTACCAACAAGCAAAACACTTCTGAGATCATTATAAGTAGTTAACAAATGTTTTCTATCTAAAAAAACCGAGAAAAATTGGCTCAAAATCGGAAAATATGATACCCTTCTATTACAGGTTCCACGGTAACCGGATAAGAAAAAACAGCGAGAAAACCAACCAAAATACAGAATTGAAAGTAATTGTGTTTTCAAAAAAAGCAACTCACAGACCAACGAAAAATCACATGGACTAGTAATAATACAAACTAATTTGACTCATCATTAGCTCAATCAAAATTAATCATTTGCTTGCATCATATGTACTTTTACGCAGCCTACTGTGTGTTCTTGTAAAGAACTAAAAAGTAAAATAAAAGTCAGGGGGAAAGTTGAAACCTTCTTGAACAAAAATAATGATTTGATGCGTGTATAACTTGTTTGTGATTTTCAAAATTTTGAGTTCTACCAATGATCACACTGTTCTACACCAAAATAATGTCTGAAAACATTTTTCCGTTCCCAGACGTTTTCATTTTTCAGACAACATCTGCGCATGAACTCCAAACAAAATGAGAATGAGGAACCTGGATCCTAAATAATGAGTTTTTCCCCAGATGCATTTTCCTCTATTTACTTTACGCAACATCTAACCGAAAGAAAGAATATGTGCTCTTTTACGTCTCTCTCCTCTCTCCAGATGCTTTCACAAAACGACACCATGAATAGACAGAGACAAATAACAATGCAGAGAACATTCGAAATGCACAGAATGTTGAGATGAGCCGGAAAAGCATGGTTAATTTGTTAGAAGCAAGTGGTCGTGTGAAGGGCTTCTCGAGAAGATATTCCAGCTTTGAAATGAACTCATTTTGTGGAAATTGCGTGTTTTTCACTTGCTTTGCTGTTTTTACTACGTTTTTCGGAAAGCTGGTGTAAGTTTTTGTTACTCTTAAATGAGTGGTTTTTTGGAACATCTAAATTTTCTCTTTTCAATTACTTTGGATTAAGATTTGACAGATTTTTAGAGGAAATTGATGGAGAGAATAAAAAAGCAGTACAAAAAATTCAATATCCAAAAAAAACATAAACCACAATATTTTTTAATATTGCTGGAAACACCACTTCAAAAACTAAATTCTATTGTGTTGATGCTAAAGTTCATGAACTACAAAGCTTCCCAAAAGCTCATTGAAAATCCTGTTGCTTATCTTTGAGAATAAAAAAGTGGGAATAAAAGCAACAAGAAAATAAAGAAAAAATGCCTCAGGCGAAAATGGGCGGGCTAGAAAGATGAGCACCGTGTGGTGTTTTGAGAGTTAGATGGCGTTTTCAGAATGAGCTACTGTTTTGAGATTCATAATGTTTCGTCTAATTTTCCGTGTTTGACAAAGTAAGACCGTACTTACTTAATCGAGTTTTCAAACATTATTTTAGTAAATTTTTCTTTTTCAATTTATTTCTTATTTTCTAACTGTGCTAGATTAACGGGGTGTCTAGTTATACTATTGCTTTTTGCTGTAAGAAAGTTTTTGGTTTTTCAGTAAACATTTTGGCAGTGGACAAGTTTTTGATATCATTCACAGTAACTGAGATGATTGAACTCAAAGTGCAAGTATAGAGTTTCAGAGCAAATGCGGTATTTATTCCAAGCAAGAAGAAGGGATTATCTAGGTATCTAATCGATTTAGAACAGTCATTAGCAAAGAAATGAATGAATACAAAAGAATAGAAAAATTCCCAAAAAACAATGGTCAGAATATTATATTCTACATTTAAAAGTACAGTTTCAGTCTTGTAATATTTGTTCAAAACACATGAAATTATGCTAAGCGTAATTCAATTCTCAAGATACCATCCGATTCTCATAATACCATAATATTCTCAAAATACCTCTCAAATCATATAGAGCCAAAAAATGTTTCTCAGATCTCAATATAATGAATAGCGAAAACACATAAAGAACGAAAACAAGCTTGAATATTTTCAGACTTCACCTAGACATTAACAAACGTTCCTATAATCATGTGCCCGGGGAATGTGGTATTATACCGAACTTACCTGGAATTTTGTCACTAACTACTTCAACTGGGGGCCGTCTTTATATGACAACTGTGAGTTCTGTTCATTTTTTCTGTTCTGTTTTTTATGTTAGATTTCTTTGGTTGGGATTTCCTCATTTTTGTAAACACCCGTTCCTTTTTTGAGTCATTTAATTAAAACACGCAAGAAAAACTTATTAATTTGGAATTATTTTGCTTTCAGCTGGAAAAAATAGCTAGAACAAAATGGCTTGGTGTGTTTTTTTTTCAGAGAACAATTAATTGAAAAAAATAAAGTCATAATATTGGCTGTTAAAGTTTTTTTGAAATATGGGAAACGTGAATTTTTCTATTCTTGGTGCAAAACGAAATTTCGTAATGAATTTGTCTAAAAAATCATTGCAGCCATGGAAAAAAATCTCGAGAGACTTCACTTAATAGTATAGTCTAGGAACAAAAAAATCAAGCAAAGATTCTCACAATTTCCGTTTCAGTGTTTTTTTTCTCAGAATTCAAAAAATGGTATATCTGACAACACGCATATCTTCACATTCTATCCGGATAACCGTACAGCTCGAGAAATCGAAATTCGAGGAGCCCCGCCGCAACGGAGAACGAAACCGGGACCAATGAGTGTGGCCGTGGACTCGAATAACGTGAGTCAAAGGATCCCCAAAACGAATTCCATTTCAATAATTGATGAGTATTTTTGAACCAGAGGGGGGGGGGGACGAGGAAAAAAAGCAAACCACAAATAATATTGTCGCAGACGAAAATGCAAATGTCAAAAGAAAAATTTTTCAATTTCAGCCAAATATTTTCGTGTTCAACCGACAAACCGGAAATGTTGACGTTTTTGGGACCAATGAACTATCTGATGTGTGGGAGTATCGGAAGTCTTTGAAAACCGAAAAGTTCAGTGGGTGAGTCTCTTCAAGAGAGATATGATTTGATTTGGAAATCTTCAAAGTTCCAAAAATTTTCGTTGGTTCAGAATATCTGCTCTTTCGGCGTCCGGAACAAATTCGTTTTATTATGTGAAGAGCGGAGTTTGGAGCGACAATTTTGCTTTGAACATTTTAGAGAGGTTAGAGAAGAAATCAAGAAACCAAAAACGTTTGATTTTCTAGAACATTTTCATTTCCAAGTGGAGAAGTTGGTTTTGCAAAAGGGAAAGTTGTTCAACATCTGACTTATCTTTCGAGCCCCTCTGGAATTATTTATGATTCCTTGAAAAAGTAGGCTCGGCGTTGAAAAGAGTGAAATCTAATGTTTTCGAATTTTAGAACCATCTTCGTCACATCCTTTTCTCGGGAATCTTTATATGTTTTGAAAATGAAGAAAAATAATATTATCGCATCTTCAAAGGTTGGTCAGAAGATTTTTGTCCAATTTGAATATCTAAAAAAATGCAGGATTACAATATTGGCTGTTCTCCCACTTCGATATGGGAAGATTTCGATGGATCATTTCTCATTACCTGTCAGCCGGTCAGGTTTCGGTAATTTTCCAGTTTTTTTTAAATGCCATAAAAATTTCACATTCTCAGCAAACTGCAAAAACGTCCTCACAAGACTTTTTGTGGCTCAATAACTTTATTTTGCCTCCATATGGTTATTTTGGAACATAAAGAAACTTTCAACTTTCAAAAGTGTTACATTTGAAAAATTGGGTTTTAGAAAAGCCCAAAAAAATTGGATTTTCAAACATTCAAGATTTTCATGGTTTTAAAGTTTTTTGACCCCATTTTTTTTCGAATTCAAAAATTTCTTAAAAATCGGAAATTCCATGAAAATCAATGAAAATCGGCAAAAAACAAAAATAACTGAAGAACCATCTGGGCAAGTCGTTTGGGATTCGTCGAGTGAAAAGATAATACTACTCAAAAAATAAACATAGCCATTATCTCGTTTATTAAATTTCACTAGCTATCAATTCAATTTTCAGATATCTTCTCCATGTGTTTGATGTGACATCGTCTGCCCCATCAATGGTTCTCCGTGTTGTTGTGCCCGTCAATAATGAAACTGAACTGTAAGTTTTCTTTATTTGACGCTCATCGACGTTCCTCGCATTCAGAGCAGAGCAAAACATTTTCGGGTTTTTTTTTACTTTTTTATTATTTTCTTGGCTTTAAAAAAATATTTTTTTAAAAATACCTTTTTCGGACTACTTTGAGTTTTTTTTCGCTTTCCGCTCATTTCTAGCAATATACAAAGTATCCAAATTTCAGCTCAATCACACAACTGTACTCGAATGATGGTGCTACCATATCTCTTGCAAATGTCACTGTCAGAGCTGGAAGGAGTTTGCTAATTTCCAATGGAAACAAGATTTTGAATTGTCATCTTTAAAACTCTTTTTTTTTGAAAATTTTTAAAAACTATTTTGGCTAAATACATTTCAAAACAAAACTTTAATCAATCAGACTTTTTTTTGAAAATATGTATTTCAAAACGGTATCAATAAAAAACATACAGTAAATACTTAAAGTTCCGGGTTGATATGTGAAATGAGTGGAATATTTGTTTTGATTTCAAAAAAATTTCAAAAATCCGGTCTAACAATTGGGCGTTTCAAAACACAATTTCGCACTTGAAACTGCTTGAAAATGTTAATATTGTTTTCAGGAAATATTGCTTTTTCGAATTGATTTGGTCCAATTTTATAAGTAGCTACGAAGACACCCGGTTGATTGGGACTTGATCTGAAATTATTATATACATAATAATATTGTTTTTCTTATGGACCAGGCGTACCTGACTAAAAAGTCTCCAGAATTGCGCAGCCTTGAACAAGCAGCGGAATGTTCGAGCACTCCATGGAAACATGCCAACATTTCTAGCTTGAAATCGTAGTCTTGAGTACTCTTCTGAAAACTGAGCATTGGCAGATTACCGCATCCTCTAACACTTACTAATCTAGCTCCCAATGTTGCAATCGGTAAATGGTTTAAAGCATCTACACTTTGTAGCTTTCGCAAAAGTTCATCAACTGCATCAATCATTATAACATTGCATTCTCGTTTCCCATTTGGGCTTTTCATAACCAATCCAATGTAGTGACGATTATCCTGGAAAAAATGCACCAATTAATGAATCAAAATAAAAAACTACGAACGATTTCACTGGCTTTATAATGCGAAATTTGATTATTCATATAACGTCCCAAAAGACGACTCCGTCCATCGTCGATGTGGAAAAATGAAGTCATAAAATTGGCGACATTGAGAAACGTTTCAACTTTGTTAACGCTGATATATGGACCCAGCTCCTGAAAGTTTTTTTTTTAATTGTGAAATTTAAAAAAAAACAAAACTAACTTCTTGAGCTAAAAGTTGCCTGAATTCATTTGACGCATGACAATTGACAACTGTATTAATGCATAACCTGGATTTGAAATATGATACAGTTTACAGAAGTGATCAATAAGATCTTAAAAACGTGGATTTCAGTTAATTTTGACCATATTCAGGATTCTGGAGTACTTTGAGTATTCTGGAGGGTAATAAAGAGACTTAGATTGAACATTTAAGGTTTCAGACTTATTCGAAAATACTCAGATTTTTAGTTATTTTCCGTCTTTTAAACCATACCTTTTTTAGCAAGCTGAAAACTATGCATTTTAAAAAATTGCTGTATGTGCATAGTTTTCAATCTAGGACTGTTTTACACCCTCTAAAACTTTCAAAGTGATAGGAATCTTAACATCCGACATCCAGACTTCTGAAAATTGTCGACATCAACCGAATAAACGTTTTTTAATATCTCATTGACCGGTGCGGTAGATGCTCGCTAACTTCGGATTACCTCACTATATGATCCCTCTCCTCTATATTTCGATTTCTGATCGTACGTGGTATTGGAACAAGACCCATAAACTGTAGAAACCATTTACTCTTTTTTTCAGAAGGAATACAAACTACTTACCCTGACAGCAAAAGTGTCCCCGCTCGAATTGATGGGATTATCCGGTTTATAACCCCATGACGACGCCGGATTATTGGCAAGTGAACTGTTGGCGTAGAAATCGCTAGGCGATGTCTTTTTCATTCAGCAAGGAAAATCAATAAGTTGCGCGGAGCAAAAAGTTGGGCAGTGTGGGAAGACCTAATTGATAAACCGAGCTGATAAGAAACCATGGCATTATCACGGACAAACATGAAATTGGTAACACAACATTAGTCATAGTGAGTAATAAAAAAGCAATCCGGAACAGGAGCAATTTGCACCGAGAGGAGAAATTGTTTTTCTTGTTTGATAAGCGTAGGCATTGCGTAGGTTTGAAACAAATATGCTACTCACTAGTCATGAAAAAACAAAAAAACATGTTTTTCTTTATTCATGTATAACTGTTGAACTTTCGATCTTACACTGCTGGACATAATTATAAATCCACTAGAAATTTCGAGTTTTTTGGAAAGCAGGGAAAATTGACTGAACAGCATATGATTGTTATAAATACTATTTTGAAATGTCAACTAATGAATACCATTCGATACCGCTATCGTTTCTTGATTTTGGAAATTTCGAAAAAATGCCACAAAAAAGTGGACATAATTATAATGCCACTTGAAACAATCCAAAATAACTCTAGATCTAGGTATTGAAATTTGAGGAAACTGCAAAATACAACAAATACAACTGAACATAGTCCTATTAAAGAAACTTGGTTGTATCTATACTCAGTATTTTTCGTCATCCGTTTTTGGGCAACTTACACTGAATGTTCAAGCATTCCGGTATAGACAAATAATAAACCCTGGAGTTAAACTGCAGTTTTTTTGAAAAACATGGCTTATATCCGAGCTCTCAAATCTTGTTTAGAAACCGTTTCACCTAATTTAAAGTTGCTGAACATATTGAACAAGTCCAAATTTATGTTTTTGTAGTTGACGTCTTTTTTCGAAACATTCATTTCAAAGAGCTCAGTCAAGTGTCTACTGAGCAAAGTACAGTATCACTCGAAAGATAGCGACAAAATGAGTTGAAATGCAGGTTTTTGTTCTGTTTGTTGAAAAAATCATGATGTTTTTGATATAAAAACATCACTTTCAGTGTAAGTTGCCCAAAAACGGATGAGGCAACCAAGTTTCTTATGTTAATAGGACTATGTTCAGTTGTATTTGTTGTATTTTGCAGTTTCCTCAAATTTCAATACCTAGATCTAGAGTTATTTTGGATTGTTTCAAGTGGCTTTATAATTATGTCCACTTTTTTTGTGTCATTTTTTCTAAATTTCCAAAATCAAGAAGCGATAGCGGTATCGAATGGTATTCATTAATTGACATTTCATAATAGTATTTATGACAATCATATGTTGTTCAGTCAATTTTCCCAGCTTTCCAAAAAAAACTCGAAATTTCTAGTGGCTTTATAATTATGTCCAGCAGTGTATAACTTTGAGCAATTTTATTCAAAACTAAAACCAGTGATTTTCTAGAAAAAAAAGAAGCCCAATGTGAAATTCAAATAAATCAGAACAATAGTCTGGTCCTCCACTGGATTGTGGCGGAAGGTCTCTTAACGAAAACTACCGTAACTTGTCCACTTAAAATCAAAAATCAAATTCTTTTAGGTTACGGTAGTCGCTGTTGTGGGACGTAAAGCCCCTGCCGCCGACCTTTCTTTTTTTATATCTCTGATTTTCTTTTGTACCGGAATATTATGAATATACTATGTTCTTTGACTTATGGTTTCTATTGTACTTATCCTATGATTGTCATATGATTATCATGTGATTTACAACTTAAGTGCAGGATTCTTCCTTTTAACAGATTTGAATTTGGAAAAAACAAAAAATATTGAAACAATGTTTTGATTTGAGGAACTTTGAAAAAACTTTTATGTTTTGAGTTTCCTGTTTCGTTAAGTTGAAAATATTAACAATTAAAAATCACATGTCTACAATTAAGCAAAAAAACATCAGCCCAATGCGGGGCTCGAACCCGCGACAACCAGATTAAGAGTCTGGTGCTCTACCGACTGAGCTAACCGGGCGGCGATCATCTATCTATCACAACCTCTTTACAAATGTATCATCACTTCTCTTCTCTATTGCTAAACGACGCAACCCATCAAGCGCTGATAAAAATCTCAAGTGTACGGCAAACAGAGGAATGTGTCGTCATGTAAAAAATAGAGAAAGAATTTCAAAAACAGTCAAAAGTAATACTTCATTCGACGATAACAAGAATCACGGGAACTTTTTGGTGTCTGTGCATGTCAAACTGTTCACATCGGCAGCTGTTGTTTCGAAATAGGTGTAATGATCAGATGCAGTACCGGCTGGAAAGTATTTGTATTTATTTTATATTTTAATAATTCTTACTAGCAACAGGACATGTGTTGGAAGTGCAGGTAGAATAGGTGTTGAGAGCTACACTTGACCAGGAGGTATAATGAATTGTTGTCTGGAAGCGACAGATTTTTCTATGAGGTCTTAACCGTAAGGTGTCTTCAGAAAGCCTTAATTGAATTGAAATTAATCTAGAAAGCTTACACAACATGAGAAATAACTGTTGGTACATTGACCCATTGCAGCTGCATTTCCAAATGTGCACGTTGAAGTTGGATAATCGTGAATCGCATCATTGAACCAGACAATGTTGAACTTATCGGCTAAACTGGTGTCCACATAGTAGGCAAAATCCTGGGGAAAAAATACTTATCATTAGCAGAAATACAAAACCAAAAACAAGATAAACGAAAACACATTTTTTCGTTGGTTTTCGGTCATTTTGACCATTTTCAGAAGTCTACCACTCGGCTGTCAAATTTTGAATCATTTTGAAAATTTTAAGGGGCGTTAAACGGCTTTAAATTGAACACACTGTATTCACAGAATTTTTTGAAAATTCGTTGTGTCCCAGATGTTTGCCAATTTCTAAAAGACACCTATTTTGACAACTTTACAGTACAAAAACTAGCCAAAAACTGTGTCCTTCAAAAATTGGCAAATAATTGAAAAAACTAGGACTTTTCAAAACATTATTTAAGCGTTCAATTTTTAATCTAGGTCTGTTTTACACTCTCCAAAACTTTCAAAGCTATCGAAAACTTGACAGCCGAGCTCCAGACTTCTGAAAATAGTGAAAATGGCCAAAAATCCACTGAAAATACGTTTTTGTGTATCTTATTGACCAGTACTGTAGGTACGGCTTACTTCATTTCCACATCGTGGCGCTCCATATCCAAAATAAAACATCTGTTCCGCTGGCCACCACTGCTCCTCTTGAAACCGAACTGCAGCCATCTGTGCCAAGCAAGCGCCCATTGAGTAACCACTGAACTGAAGCCGAAAAGTTAGCTATCATTTTCTCATATATCATACCGAGATATACAAATCACAATACTCGGTCCACAGATTTCTCATATAAGCACCCATTCCATTGTTCCAAATTCTTCCGAATGCCGTCAGAAAATCTGTTTGCACTTGTCCATAAGTTCCGAAATTCAAAAGGGTTTGTTGATTGAGTAGAGTGGATGTTGTGCTCTCAATGTTACTTTCAGCCTTGAATGTGATTCCTAGCAAAGTGTATCCATCATCAACATCGATCTGTAAGTGAGAAATTTGAGGAAAGAATGTCCCGTTGACATACCACAACTCGACATGTTCCACCAAACACCAAATCTGAACAATCCGCTTCAAACCTAAAATATTTTTATATTCAGGGGAAGCTGATTAAAGTCTAACATACGTAGCAAGGATCAGTTGCCCATAAAATTCTGTTTCAACACACTTCTGAGGATTTGTCGCTCCGATACATAGTGCCCAGATCAAGAACTGAAAATTGAATATTTGGTAAGAAATCAGCCTAACGAACATAACGTTTCCCCGTTTTCAAAAAACTGTGGCATAATAATTTTCGACGAAGTTTACCTTTCCTTTTATAGGGATAAATAAAAACTTGCATTGTTCAAAACAAAGCTAGTATAGTAACGTTAAAAAAGTTCTATATCCAAATTTAGCCTTTTAGCAAAAATACATCAGCCCAATGCGGGGCTCGAACCCGCGACAACCAGATTAAGAGTCTGGTGCTCTACCGACTGAGCTAACCGGGCGGCAAATGTTATAGGAGTCTGTCTCGTATATCAGCTGACTAGGCTGATGTACGAAGACAAATTGTCTCCCTTTGAAACCTAATAATGCAATTTGTTACACTGTGACGGGAAACAGATAAGAAAACGCTTCACTTTCTCTTGCGGTGTAACAATTTGCGGCAAATAAGAAACGTTTTTCTTTTTGCAGAGTTAATCTTACTCTCCGTCCAGAGTCCGAATCATAATCGACAAGCGTTTGTGCTCCAACAATAAATAGTAAAAGAATGCACAAAATGGTACGACATCGAACAGTCATACCGATTACCGATGAGGTGCGATTGAGATTGAACACGACGATTTTACCCCGATACTCTCAAAATTTTTGTCGAAAACGGATTTATTCTGTTGCGTGTGTGCGCGTTTATGAATTTCGATCAATTTTTTTCGTGTGCGTGTGTATGCTGTCAGTCTTTGGAACTTTGAAACCGCTGTATTTGGGCATTGGTTTGTCGGAGGATTATTCTAATTGGTAGTCAGGGCACCTACAAAGAAAATTCAACTTCTTGTTTAACCAGATTTTGATGAAAATTTGTGGATACGTTATGAATAGATTATAGAAAATTCTGAAATTTTTAGAAACCCCCCCCCCCCCATATCTTAGTTCAAGCCGAGTTATATTAATTTCAGTACCAAAAATTGATGTGTTCTAGAATTTGCCGGAATTTCATGTTTCGAATATTTTCCCTTTCGAACATTATAATTTTTTTGTACTACGGTTTATCGAAATTTCGAAATTTATGGGTTATTGTCAACACATGCTGAAATTTTCATCATAATCTGAATACGAAAGATGTTAAGGTTCCCTTGTCAAATGTTTTCTTCGATTACTAGATAGTCACATGTCCCAATTCAGATCATACGTTAAATTCGAATCAAATGTTTGGGAACTATTGAAAACATGACAAATTTACAGTAACATGGCAACAGTCAGTGGTCAAACAACAAGATAAGATCTGGAGATAAATTGTTGAAGAATTTTTATAGCAGAGTTGTTCTGCCAAGAATAATGTTTTCATTTTTCAAACAGATTTTTCAAAATCATTTTTTTTTGTTTTTCACAAGGATGTCCGGAATCGGATTCGGAACACCAAAAATTCCGAAACTTCCTACCCAAAACGCACCTAAAAAGTTTCCTCGCTGGTTTGGACCGGAATTACTTGAAAAAATGCGTTTAAAAATATTTTTGTCAAATTCTCATCAATATTTCGCGCTTTTGCGATATGAAAATTAAATTTCCAAATTTCGTGAACCTTCAAAATCAAAATATTCCGTAGTTCCGAAATTTCGAAAATTTTCTAAAAGGCTATTCTGAACATCCCTCTCACCCACCACTTTTTGATGCTCAACTTGTTTTTGTGACCTGGTCCCTAGTTTCCCGGTCACTCCTTTAGCTGACTTCATCTCCAGTTTCAACTCATGATCCATGATATAATAAATGTTATTTACGTTGTCACATTTACACACTAACCCACACACACAACATGAGGTTTACGTGTGCTTGTGTGTGTCACTACAACAATTATACAACTCTTTGCTCCCTGACAAACAACAACTCGTAGTAGTCGAACGTCCTAGTACCGGAGGTATAATTGTTACATCTAGGTTTTTTCGTTTTAAATCCCTGCGGCTACTTGTTGTCCTCTACAAACTACGAAAGTTTGTGTGGTCAGAAAACATCCCTACGTGGGAAAAACCACACACATCAAGCAGGTTCATGAGATCAAACAAGCTCAAAACGTATTCCGGGGTACACTACCGTTTCTTTGGGAATTTTACAACAACAAAGTCATAATCGGATATTTTTCAAATCAGGCTGAGCTATGACGCTTGGTACCAAGAAGCGTGATTGGTTCTGTCCTGAAACATTCATTTGATGAACTCGATTTAAGAATGTAAACAGGAGACTTAGTGTAGGTGGTTTTCCGTGGGTGTTGTTGACTCTAAACAAGACACATTGATTGGGAAAGTAGATTAAATAGTTTGATAAAAGCATATTGAACATTTCAACACCTGGTGGAAATCTAGTTTTGATTGATCTTCAGTGTCAAAGTGTAATTGTGACGTTGTAAATGAAAAAGTTAGAAAAAAGTTCCAGTAGTTTTGGAATGGATGTTGTTGTCCCAAAAATGATACATACCGTAAACACTCCAATGGAATGACCCAAAAATAATTCGAGTCAACTTACTTCAGTTCCTGTAAAACATATCGAAAAGTGGTCAAATGATTAATTGTTTATTAGAATATTGTGAGTAGTTTTTTAGTTGACAAAATTTTGATATCGTTTGAAGGAACTGAGATAATTGAGCTCAAAGTTCACAAATAGGATGAGCTTCTATTAAAGAAAATATGGTATTAAGTTTAAAACTTTTTTTTCAGAAATTTTTAAATTAAAAAAAAAATTATAACGACATTATGTTCTTTGAATACTATAGTTTTACAGTGATTTCATATATTTTCTAAGCTAAATTTTTTTGAATTGTTGATAAAATCCCGAGCCTAAAGAAAGTTTTGAATACAGTTCGGCCCTTGCAAGTATCAAAAAATTGAAGAGAAACAAAATTACTCAAATTCTTTCAATTTTAGTCATTATACCCTTAGGCAGTTCAAAAAAATCCAGCATTCCCTTTCGACCTCCAATGAAACCGGTCGCTGTAAAAGGACAAAAAATGTGTGCCATCCATCCTACGCTCTTTTCAAAATCTACACGAAAAATCGTAATTGTCCATTATCCTGGCAGCATTCCAATGCGGCCAAGGCCAAAAAAAAAACGACAAGCACAGTAAGTGCGTTTCCAGATAATAATCTACACTGCCATTCGCCGCCAGCGTTTCTTACCAAACATATCCAGTTTCAAAAGGCTACGATGCAATTTATTGGATTCGTAGAAAACGATGAATGGAAAAATTTTTCGAAGCCAATGACTTAATGAGGCACGCTTTTGGTCTGTTCACGCTTCCTCCTCAACGTTGTCGTCAAAAGCCGCCGATAGATCGTATCAGTAAATTTCGGGCGAGGGTTGTAAGCTCGGAGGAGAAAAGAAAATGAGAAAAAGAACATTAGGCAGATGTGAATCCAATTGACAGTTGCGATATTTGTGTATTACCTAGGTTCCCGAGCAATATTCTCTACTCGGATCATTTTCTTTTTTTTGATTTAACCTTTTTTTGAATAATTATAATTACCTATGTATTTATTCCAGGTCATCACCTTTCTTCCACTTCGGACCATAATGATGCCTGCCACTGAAACCCCAGACTATCATGCTTCTTATGATGCAGCTATGCAAAATGCCGAAAACCGTGTTTTCCACCTTCTTCACTCGCTTGAATGGCAACTTCATACCGAGAAGGTATACTGTAGTTTAGATAATAGGTCCCTTTCTCTCATTTCTAGCCATTACATATCTGTGACGCTTCACTTTGTTCCTCTGATCTACCGATGAAATCAAATCAAAGTTACCAGAATCTTTTAAAGTCTCATGAGAACAGAAAATTTTTCTGGTTAGTTGTCTTTCAACGTCACACATTCCCACCGGGCCCGTGACGTAGCATGCAGGCTACTGTAGTTGAGGTCGATTTAAGATTTTCCTGGAATTTACATGCTATAATTTTGTTTGGTATGATTTTTTCCGACAGTTTTAACATTCATTTATCAAAAATGTTAGAAAATTATCAATAATTATCTGCAAAAGATTATCTGAAAACAAAATTGTGGTGTTTTGATTGGTCAGTTGCTCTTGAAACGTCAGAAAATTCCCACCACAAGTTGCATGTGTCGTGTCACCTAAAAAGGTTTTACATGAGAAAAATTGTGACGTTACAGAAAACTGGATGTATCTGGAGCATGCGATGCAACGTGATGGATAATTACATTTTCCGCTACGAAGGACGCATCCCAAACAGATCGTGTGCCGAGGTAAGGGTCAACATGGATGAGCAGTTTTTTGGGGAAATGATTCATACACATTTTTATTTTAGGGGAACAGAACAATAGGTGTATGATGAAGCTCCGGGACATGTTGCCCCAAAAGTTTCCAAAAGATTACTGTAAAGAACATCAGAAATTTTCAAAGTTACCCATTTGAAAAATAAAATTTAGAACCCGGAATACAAGATTTAAAGGAAACTACACAGAATACCAGAATTTGAATTGCGGACATCTTCGAAGAACACAATGAAAATGTTTCTACAGTAGTTTTATATCAGGCATTCTGAACAATCATATGAAATTTAAGCCATTTGATTGATGTTCTGCGAGGTTGTGTTCAAAAAACCAAAAGTTACTTTTCGAGATTTGAACTCGGCTATCGTGTTCTGAACAACGAAAACAGACACATCTAGTCCAACGGGATTTCTGATGTTTCATTGAACGTGCACGATAGAAAAGCACGGCGACATTTCTGACACATCTATAATATTTCTGCAGCAAAAAACATCTGCCTCTTTGAAGAAATCAAACCAAAAACCATTTTCCATGACTGATCTGTCGAACTACAAGTTCAAACACTCAAAGATCTCAACTATTTCCAGGTCTCCGCCATGATCCATCCTCAAGGTCTACACCGCAACAAATGGGACTCCCAGTCTGCTGGAGTTCGAATCGTTGAGGAGATCAGTCATGTTAGTTGTTTTTTTTCTGTATTCTCAACCTCGTATACGGAAGCATTTTTCAGGACACTTCCGTTATTCTCCACAAAACAAAGGGTCGGATGATGGGTTTGATATCGCCTCGCGAGACTCTCGATCTCTGTCGTTTTGCGTACGATCCAGTTGATGGTACATGAAGATAGGAGAAAAAAAAACATGTTGCTTATGAATTTCAGGAAGTCGCTCGGTTGTGATGGTTAGTGTCGAACACGAGAAATCGCCAAAAACCGCTGGCGTGGTCAGAGCTCAAACGTTTCCAACACTGCTCATGATCAATCCCCTGTAAGTTAAACATAACATTTCTCTGTTTGATGATCCTCACAGCTCAAGTATGTTTTGAACTGCTAACTCACGAAACAAAAACATCTTTAATACCGTGAAAGTGCAATTCTACGTAAAACTTCATAATAACAAATCATCATAGGGGAATACTACGTATTTTGTTATTATCTAAAATTGAACTTGATATGGTACACGGAACTGACAAATTAACTTATTAGTCAGGTCGTGGAATCAGGGGACTCGTAAATGGGTGAAAATGGAGCCATAAAACTTGAGCAAAAATACAAAAGTAAAATTATGGCTATCAAATTAAAAATTTTACAGCGGAGACGGCGTGAAAATTACATCTATCGTACAAGGAGATATGTACTTGCAAGGAATCCCACAATCTATCGTTGATAGCTTGATGCCAAAAGTTTGTTTTTCGGGGAAATTGGTGAAAAATATGTAACCGTTATTTTAGGGAATCCTCAACTTTTTCGATGACTTGGTCAAGTACGCCGACAAGGATGACACCAAAGTCTGCCTGAATCGCAATTTGACAGGATGGTGTGGAGCTCATCTTGAAAACTAATTTCATCGGCAATTAAATTTCTTTAACTTATTGCTATCTCGAAATCTCATCTGCCTTCTCCCAGTATTTCTTTTAGCTCTGGGGCATTTTGTCATTGTGATAATACAGGCTAATGGATAGGTTTCAGACTACAATAATAGTTTTTGGGTTCTCGGAATCATTTTCTGCTAAAACAGTTAAAAATTCAGCATATTATTTTTGAATTTTATGCTGTTCTATCAAAAAAGGATATCCGAAAATCTGTAAATTGCTTTTGTAAATCATATCCATTTGTTCCAGAGCCTTTATTTTCCTATCTCTACTTCTCAATACGCTAATTTTAAACCGAAATATACAAGCCTATAAATGTTCCAAGATTGTTATACTTGTAATATTATAAAGAAGTGAATAATCCAATGAGACCAGTTGCTTAATGAAGAGGACCGCATTTGTAGAATGAACACAGTGGTGTCCGGCTCACTGGAACATGAATAGACCCTTTTCTTATTTTTAAGGACATATTATGCTAAAAAATAAGAGCCCTTTTTGAAATTTCAGAAACTTTTCAATATTTTATTGTAAAAATTTGTTTTCTATTAACACTCCGTTCTTGGCGAGCTCATTATTTTACAGAAACGTTGTTAGTTTCATTTTACTGAGCCTGAACATGTTTAGAAAGGTCCATTCCATTCCGTTGCAAGCTTGATTTTGCGTGAAGTGAATAAAAAATTGTTAACTATCAATATTTATCGAAAACACAGCGAAATTATTAACATTTCACAGTTTTATACTTATTAGGAATATCAAAAAAAGATTCCGAATTGTCGAATGATCATTTTTGTGAAAAAAAACAGGGAAATAAAAATTGGAATGTAAAGACGAGGATACAAGAGGTCAGAGGGAGTAATTAATATCATAATAGTGTTAAAACAAACAAAGTGAGACAAGAATTATTGTGGAACTTTAGCGAGCATGTCGATAATGGTGTCCTCGTTCTCGTGGAGGATGTCGTACAACTCCTCGATTCTGGCTGGAACGAATCCGCGCTGTTTGCCGTTGCGAAGATACTCGATGTAGTCCTCTTCGTATCCCTGGAAAAATGAATTTTACACTTTTCGCCTTTAGGTTAACGTACATTGAGTTCAGCGATGTTGAGAGCGAAGACCTGCTTGTAGATGTCGTGGAAGTTAGAGATGATGCTTTTTTCGTTGACCGGGTAAACTCCACACTCCGCCAGGCATGATCCTTCGGTGCAGCAGAAGGTGTTCTAAAATTATTAATGGTTTCGATATCACTATTTAAGACTTACTCTGAAAACACCGAAAAGATCGGTCAACGGGATATCGGAAGTCTTGAGGAGACCGACTTCCTCGGATTTCAAGACAGCGAACCGGTTGAAGATACGGTATGGTCCAATTTTGACCAGGTAACCTAAAATAGAATGAAAATGATCGATCTAATTAAAATTGACTCACGCTCGGCTGGGCAGAAGTACTTGGCGTCGTTGCACGACAAATGAACAAGCTTGAGGACTTGTTCATCGGTCAAGGTGGTTGGACGGTGAGCAGTACCGTATTGAACAACAGCGACGAAGATCAAAGTCTTCAGAAGGAGGGACATATTTGATTGATATATGGTGATAAGATTGGAAAGCGGGCCTTTTATACTAGTTATGACGAGCAACTCGACGCAATTAGCATCAGGAGAAGTCACGCCTCCTTTTTTCGCCTATTTTCTCTTCGTATCTCGTTCTCTAAAATGGGCGGGACCTTTGAGTTGTTTGTTGGTAGGAAAGAAAATGAGATCATGGCATTCGGAGATTCGAGACGTGGAAAGGAATTTTGGATTTCGGTTTGTGAGTTGATTTTTGGTCATGAAACGTGAGCAGAGAGATCGTGAATATCTGAAAGTATTAGTATCCAAAGTTTGGGTGGATGTGAAGCGTTGTCTTGGACGGAATGGAATTGGTTGGAATTCTGTTTTTTGGTAATTTATTTGAAAACAGCACAGTTTTCGAAACAGTCTCCATCTGGAGATGTCAGGAGTTCAAATTTTTGAAGTCCAGCTTTAGAAGTCTGCTACGAAAGTTTTTCAAAGCGTATTGTTTTGGAATTGGTAATTTTCACTTGTTATAGACTTTTTCGACCTGACCTGACCGTCCGTCGCCCCCTTTTTTTGAAAATACTGCAAAAACGAATAAATAAGGTATTTATTGGTGCCAAGGGACAGGAGAATCGGTGTATTGTTTTGAAATAATGTTTTTTTTTGAGTTGAAGTGTGGTGAACACAGAAAAAGCGAGGATGAGGTGGTTTCTATCTACTTGGAATAGGTTCAAAAAAAATGGTGGTTATAAATTAACAAAACTGGGAGATGAGTGGGTCAACGAGATCAAGAATAGGGGATACAGGTGAAACATTTAGGCTTCCTTTCTCTGCTTGGAGAGGAGATCGATGTACAGGTCCTCGTTAGCGTCGAGGATGTCGAAAAGCTCCTCGATCTCCGCTGGAACATGACGCGATCCCTTCTTGTGGTGCTTAATGTAGTGGTGGTACATCTTCTCGAATGGCTGAAACAGAACATGTACTACCGAAGATGAGTCTTCAACAAACCTTGAGCTCCTCCATTCCCAAAGCGAAGACTTCTTTGTAGATCTGTGGGAAGTTGTGAACGATGCTCTTCTCGGCGAGTGGGAACACGTTGCATTCGGCCAGACAGTCTCCATCGGTACAGCAATACTCTTTCTGAAATAAACAGATTCTGAAAAATCCTAATTGAGTTAAACTTACGCGGAAGTAGTCGATCACGTCACTGGCAGCAATTTTTCCTGACTTGTAGGTTTTGACGGGCTCCGAGTCCAAGACTCCGACTTTGTTGAAGAAACGTAGGTCCTTGACTTTCACCAGGTATTCTGAAAGGCTCTGATTAGGATGAACTACAGTACTAAACTAACTCTCGCTTGGGCAGAAGAAGAATTGATCGTCGCAACTTCCTTTGACGATTTTGAAGATCTCCTCGTTGGACATGCTGCTTGGGTTGTTTCCATTTTCCGCCAGGACAAAGGCCATCAAAACAACGGATCCAAGGAAGCGAATCATTTCCTTTTCTGAAATTCAGAAAAAATTAATTCGCCGAGGAGGGACAGGGGACAAGAAGCCGATGAAGTTTCAGCTTGTGAACTGCTGATAACGAAGATAAGGGGCGTTTTTATAGTGGATGATGACTAGTAGTCTTTCAATTATTCTTTTTGACTCCTCCCACTTTTTTTCTTGTCTTCTCGGAACTCTCCTCTTCGGGGTGGAGCATGGAGCGAGTAGTAAAGAGGATTTGGAGTGAGAGCACAGGAATCAGAAAGGCGGAGTCGAAGATTGAATTTTTTTTTTGAAGTTTTGAACATCAGGAAGATTGTACGACTTGTGACAGGCACGTAATGTATCTTGAACGACATGGGAACAAAAATAGCTTTGTTGAGTTTGATAGATTGTGTTTCATGGGACATTGACTAGATGGCAGTAACTGGACGATAATTTTCACAGTTTCGAAGAATCACCAACCTGCGTGAAGTAAAATGAGATATAATTGAATTCAACGGCGATCCTAAAAATAAGAGCGAAATCCATTTCTGCGTGATCTTTGGCCAATGTATATGCATTTGGGCAGGGTCCCGGGCTGGCAGGTGGTCCACATAATTTGGCCAGACGTTGTGTGCTACACTGCCATACACCTTCTGCTCTGAGAACAATGTTTGAAATCTACCGATGTTTCGTTGCAGTGTTCTTTTTTGGCCAAATACCTTGAAATTAGATTTCTTTCATTTTAAGGAATAGTTTAAACCTCTTTCTGCCAGATTCGAGAGGAGAAATTTTCCAGATTATTTTTTAAAAAATGGTCAAAAAACCATAATAACGCATTGTGTTACTTTTCTCATGTTCAATTGATTGCCTTTCAGAAACCATAGCATTTGTATTATGAGGGTCCGTACACTTTCAATTTTGATCAATGTTTTTATGATCGACTGACAACATTTATCATAATATAACCATTAATTTTCCATTGTGTTAGAAAATTGTTCTCATATCTTGAGCGATATTAACATTCATTTCTAAGAACATCAATCGATAAATGCTAGCTAGCCCATAAAATGTTTGTTGATTTGAATCACTCATATTTCTTCCACTTTTTCCGTCCGTTGTGTTTTTTAACCGATGATGAAATACCATAAGCGTAACCGTAAGCACTCTTATAGTATGCCATCTCAAACCGTTAACTTTGAGCTCATATATCTCGGTTTCTGTTGAAAATATCAAAAAGTGGTCAACTGACGAAATGTTTATTAAAGTATCGACAACATTTTTTGAGTTGAACACTTCTTGATATATTTCACAGAGAGTGAGATAAATTGGCTCAAAGTGAAAAGTAAGGGGATCATTCTACCGTATTCATTGAAATATTTCCTCCTTAATATTCGTCTGTTGTTTTTATGTTGTTTGTTTTCTCCAACTTCCAACGGAATAAACCCCACAAACATCGTTACCTTTGAAATCCACTACTGACCTTGTTAGCAACTAGTAGCAATAATAATTTTTCCAAATTTTTGAATATTTTCGCTTTGTTTTCAAATAATGATGTCGTGGGCGTACGATGTTCTTGTCAACCGACTCAATACTTTAACGCTCTCTAGATTGTCTTGAAAAACAAACTGATCTAATTTGAACCCAAAATAACCAAGAACTAGTGTGAATGACAAGCATTGTTTCAGAATAGCCGCCTTTCATTGAATTATGTCCCATATGACTTTTATAAGTTCGATAACATAACCAAACTTCAAAACCACTCGCCGCTGCTATTTTCGGGACGTTCCTTCCTCCATACAAAGAAAACCATTCCCAAACAAATTACATTTCTATTTTCCCCGGGCCCAAACCACTGAACCAAAACCTAATACCTATAGAAATATTTTTGTTAACGTCATTCTGAATTTGAAATCTCTAGTTTGTTGTATTTTCTTTTTCCAAGGTTGACTTACAGAAACATATCCTTTGTAGGGATTCTATAGTTTTTTGAATTCTAGTTCTGATTTCAAAAGGTTTCAAAATGTTTTTTTTCAAATAGAAGTTTTAAGGATTCCGACCTTTCCAGGAGTTCAAGTTTCTGACTTTTTCAATCTGATCTGTCGTTTTTCAAAAAAATCGAAAAATTAAAAGCATGTAGCAATAAACAACACAAACCGTTTGATTATTGTTAATCCATGATTAATCTTCTGTAATGGCCACGTGGTCAAAGTTTCTCATCTTTTGGTACCACTGATTCTGGCCCAGATTAGGATTTATGAGAAACATAAAATTAAGCCACGTGTCCTTTTTTGATTTATCATCCTCTATTCAAACTATTAATCCGACTATTCACTCAGTGATTTCATACTGTGGTTTCGATTCTTTGAAATCACTTAAAATGAAAACAGTGAATAGAAGTGCAAATTTCTGCAACCGAGTTATATTCAGCAAACTGAATCTAATGAACCTGAATTGGGATGACAAATTTGAATTTTCAGAAAAAGTCAAACTCTTAGATTGAAAAATAATTAATGAAATCATATTCTATGATTGATGGGGTTTCAATCAGCATTTCCAAAAATCGAATCTAATCCTGAAAGGACCTTTTCTTTGTTTTCTATATCCGCTTCATATGTAACCCCTATGTTCAAAGAATGCTCTTGCATGCTTGACAGTAAATAAAAACAAACGGATTCTTAAAAGTGAGTACACTAAAGTTGGAAAAATCGTTTCTAAACATGCCAAAAATAGAAAAAAATCCGAGAAACGCGATCTCAAAATAATGTAAACAAGAAATTTGAGAACGGATGTTCTGCGGCTGGAAAACTAAAGATATAAAATGCAAAAAAATGAAAATTTTGAACTTTTGAAAGCAGAAAAGTTTATGAAATGAATAAGAGAGGGGGGGGGGGGGTAGGGCTACTTCCAACACATTATGTTAGAATGGATTTTATCTTAGCTCGAAAATCATGTCCTCATAAAGCTTGTGAATGATTGTATACCTAAAATTTGCGATCGCAAAAACCGTGGCTTTTAAATATTATCATACATATCAGTCGATAAGATTTACAAAAACAGATTTTTTAGTTTATTTGATTATTTTTACCATTTGTAGGAGCATAGAGCTCGGTTTTCAAGTTTCCGATCATTTCAAAAATTTTCAAGGCTTTAAAACAGATTTGGATTGAAAACTCTGATTTCACAGACTTTTTAGAATATTTCTAGTTTTTCAGTCATTAATCGATTTCTGAAAGGCATGTTGTTTGACTCATTTTCGTAAGAAAAACGTGAGGAAAACAAAATTTCCTTAGAAATCGGCAATTAGCTGAAAAACTAAAAGTTTCGAATAATTTTGTAAATGCAAAGTTTTCAATTTAGGTCTGTTCAACAGTCTCCAAAGTTTTCAAAACGATCCGAAACTTGACAGTCGACCACAACTGTTTACATGCCCGCCAAATCCTATTTACTGATTCCTTCTCTTGCTTTTGGTACGGCCAACTGCAGCTATTCGAATAGGGTACTTCTGAGATAAGTAGGATACGGTGGCCTAGCCTCTCTAGTGGTTTCTGGGTCACTGGGCTTATGCGAGAAGAAATTAGTGTTTGGTCCGTGGCAACCTTCTCACGTCCGCGATTTGTATAGCCTAGCTTTAGAGTAACCCACAGCTCCATGACACTGCAGGCTCCAAAACAGAACATAATGATCACATGAATCGCTTCATATCTGGACAATTGACTATTTCTAAGCTTTTTGAGAAAGCTTATCGTTGCAGACCACCCACTAAACTGATCAGAACTACAGGATTGTGCAGTGTTCAGCCAATCTCCTGACGTCCACTACTTGTACGGATAACCGGACATTATTTGCTTATATTCAATGATTAAACATTTCTTGAGCAATCTTCAAAATGATTGATCACATTGATGTGTTCTCTCTGTTTCTCGGAAAGTGACCAGATGAACAAAATATACAAGCAACACCCAAGACCAAGCTAGAATGAATGAAATAATTTCATTCACATTTCCAGAATAATTAAATTATTTCCGGAGAAACAACGTAGATCTATCCTTTTTTCATGCCATCTCTTCCTATTTTTTCTAATTCAATAGTTGTTTGAGTGGGGGTGGCAATTTGAAATAACGTCATCAAAACGCGGTCATTGCAGTATGATTTAATGCAAAAAACAAAATGAAAGAAAAAAGTTGCAATCTGGTAACAAGAGGGAGTGATGATTTGTAACATTCGTTATCAGTAGGTCTATTGGTAGTCTAACGAATGAGACAGATCATATAGACAACCGGTCAATAAGATATACAAAAATGTATTTCTTAGTCGATTTTGATCATTTTCCGGAGACTGGAGGTCGCCTGTCAAGTTTCCGATCACGTGGAACATTTCGGAGGATGTAGAACAAACCTAGATTAGAAACTTTACATTCACAGTTCTTTAGCTATATTTTTTTTTCGAAAAAAATCATGTTGTTCCACGTTATCAGTACAAAACGGTTCAAAAAATGCCTTCTAGATATCCCCAAATATCTGGAAAACTAGCAGTTTTCAAAAAAATTCCTTGAATGCACAGTTCCTAACTTTGGTCTGTTTACACTCTCCGAATTATTCAAAGGGGTAGAAAACATAACAGCCGAGCTCCAGACTTCTGAAAATAATCAAAAATAGCTGAAAAGTGGTTTTGTATATCTTACTGACAGGTACTGCAGTTTCAGCTAGCTACTCCTACCTCATACACAATTTCAGACTTCTAATACCATTTTGATTACTGTACACATTAGTGAAATCCGTCTTAATCTATCCTAATCCAGCCACGGAAACATTTACCAATAGAGATTAAGATTGGAAAACAGATTAATTCTCATTTCCTAATAGAAAGATCAACGATGCGCATCCTCAGAACATTCTTAATGGTTGTTTATCAGGAAGTGATAACCTTTTCTGGTGAATTTTACGAAAGTCATGTTTCAGCATCTAAACACCGGAAACAACAAATTTTGTTGAAATGTGTTATTTTCAGAGTTTCGCAACATCCAG